CTTACTTGTCTACTTTATTCATTTACTAGTTTGTAATGTAGAATGAATAAGATTTAATTTATCTAAATTTAATTTATCTCATACTAGGACGAAACGACTGTCCAGTGCTTCCAGGGTTTCCATGGTGATCTAGCTTCAATTGACATATGAATTAAACTATTCACATTACTATGATATCCGCACAGAATACCCCCTTTTGATATTAATCAGCATATGCTCATTAATGACTGACTTCAAGAGATATTTCCTGCAGTGACCAATCGAGTTCAACTGGGTCAGTTGTGAGATAGTAACTCAATGAAGATAATAGTGGATGTGTCAATCAATTTCGTGGATTAGTTGAAGTTAGATATAAACACTGTTGGCTGGCAGCCAGCTCAGTAGTTTAGAGGTTAAGTGTTAGGACGTAAGACTGATGTGTCCTGGGTCCGAATCTCATGAGGTGGGATCATGGATGGGTACTGTTGAGGAATACAATGATAGGACGAAACAGTCTTCCAATGCTTCCAGATTTTCTATGCTTGTCTAGCTTCAATTGACTCATCATATCAACTATTGAAATTATTATAATATCCACACAAAACCCCCTTCAGATACAAAAACATTACAGCCAAACTCATTCAATTGTTTCTGTAAGGTTTTGTATTCATTTAACTCCTGTTATCATTTCTAATCATGAATCTAATCATTCCATCGGTATTATTCTCATTTTCTTCTATTCATTATCATAATATAACTAATCTTTATACTCTTTAGGGTATACAAAACATAAATGAACATATAAGCTAATAATGATAATAACGATATTGATACTTATCGTTATAGTAGAATAAGGGGAATAGAATATAAGTGAATTTAGCTATAACTTTCCAGTTGAAATAAGCTTATAGTGATTAAAATCATGAGTCAGTTGAAGCTAGACCACTATTGAAAACCTGGAAGCACTGCACGGCCGTTTTGTCCTAGTATGGGACTGCTCAGCAGTGCGCATCCACGATCCCGCACCACGCGGGGCTCGAACCCAGGACCGTCCAGTGCTTCCAGGTTTTCAATGGTGGTCTAGCTTCAACTGACTCATGATTTCAATCTGTGAAATTTCTAAAATCTCCACAAAACCCATTCTGATTATAGTGATTAGTTTAATTTGTTCGTATTACTTGTTATAGATTAATTTCTCACTTATTTACCTACTTACTTACGTCTGTTACCCCTCGTGGAGGAACACACGCTCATCACCCTAACCATATCCTGGGCTCTTCTTTCCAGTTGGTCCTAATTGCTATTCACTCTTTTCATGTCTGCTTATAATTCTCGACGTAGTGTGTTCCTCAGTCTTCTAATTTTGCGTTACCGTTTAAGATTACAAACTGATGCTTGCTTCGTGAGGCACTTTAATGATTTCCTCAATGTATGTTCCATCCACCATTTCTAACGTTTTCTCCTAATTTCATCTTTAACTGGAAGTTGGTTAGTCCTCTTCTACAGTAGAGTGTTGCTGATGCTTTTCAGCCAATAGACATAGAATCCTCTTTAAATAAACTATCATAATCACGTCTATAGTGAATGATTTCGAGATGATTATAAAGTTTTAGAAAGAATAAATAAACCGTGACTACTGGAGTCCAGATATGTTGAAAGTAAAATGGTTGTTATACGATAGACAATTCCCCATATATCAGAATTTTGTAATTGTACTATCACATACTTGACCAGTAATCTCAATGGTTATGTAAACATGAAGGTTTAGGGTCTAGTCATTGATTATATCATAGATGTGTACTGTTAAGAAGTCTTGCATTATGATAAAATATCCGTACAGTACTTTCTAGTTCTAAGACGTATTTCATCCTCTGATGAACAGAATCTACAGTTGAATTTATACCTGAAAAAAATGACAAACACAGTAGAGTAAAACAATTCAGATCAAAATCGGTACTGTTATCAAACTCAATAATACTACACATGGTATGAGCAACTCAATGCTAACACTATCCAGACACGTTCTAAAAAAATGATAAAAATAAACCATCTTTCCGCTTATGCTATATCTTCTAGATCTCCTAAATCAGAGGTTCAAAAAGAAAACTTGTTCAACTTCTTATTACTTACTTACTTACTTACGTCTGTTACCTCCAATGGAGCATAGGCCAACGACCAGTATTCTCCAACTCACTCTATCCCGGGTATTCCTTTCTAGTTCTATCCAATTTTTCCTCATTCCTCTCATAACTGTCTCCATTTCTCGGCGTAATATGTACTTTGGTCTTCCTCTTCTCTTTTCGCATTGAGGATTTCAAGTGGGGGATTACGTTGTGACGCAGTTGGGTGCTTTCCTCAATGTGTGTTTTATCCACTTTCATCTGTTCTTTCTGATTTCTTTCTCCACTTGGATCTGGTTTGTTCTCTCCCACACTAGATTGTTACTAATAGTGTGTGATCAACAGATCCGAAGTATTTGGCTTTCATAATATGTCTGAAATACATGATTCATCTAGCGGAGTCTGACTTTAGTGTTATGGATTGAACCTGTTGAAATAGACGAGAAGTTACTACCTCAGTGGACCAATAAGAATTCAGAGTTGACTGTAAGCTGCTCACACCGGTTTATGCATCATTGGTCCGGTCAGTAAGTCAGTGTTTGTATTGGCGATTTAGTCATATGATATATTGGCAGGTCCATAGGATATAACAGTATTCACATATCAATTTGATTTACTTCCTCGTCCAAATAAATTCTTATCACCAGTCTTTGGTATTCACTAAGCATTGTCAGATTTGGGGTCGTAAATGTAAAGTACAAGCCACTTAAGGATTTCTAAAGCATAATAGCGGCAGGCATAACAGATGTAGACAATTTGCTACCCAGAACGACGATAAGCGCTCTATATTCGATATAATCAATTAAAGAAACGAGGGGTCATCAAATGGCTTTCGTTTTACACGGTTGAACATCACTGTCATGGCTTCTCACTAGAACTACAGGAAATATGTCTTAAAGTCAGTTAGTAGTAAGCACATGAAGGTGGACGGTTGCGCAGTAATGTGGACTGGTTTAAGTTAGACATTAACATCATTGGATGCCGGATTAGTAGTTAAGATTTCGCGCGCGAGATCAAAGATCCTGGATTCGAATCTCACGTGAGGATCGTGGATGTATTTTGATAAGGAATCCCATACTAAGACGGAAGGTCCGTAGAGTGTTTTCAGGTTTTGCACGTTGTTCTAGCTTAAATTGACTTATGAATTCAACTGTTAAGATTATTACAATCCCTACAACCCCCATTCTGATGATGCTTACCTATTATCATCGTCTATTCATTACGTAACCATTTTTTTAAACCTGTAGACTTCTATTGATACCAACATTGTAACAGAAGATATATATTCTTCGTCATTTCATTTAAGATGGTGGTTGGAGGTAGTCAACAGGAAACCCTGGACTCGGATTTCGTGCTATTTGACACTCGTCAGCAAGGTTTACCTGTAATCTTGAGGAAACTGGTGCTCCCTGACGGATTCGACCCCGTGTTACCCAGCTTCACAGTCAGAGATATTACCATTGAGCTGTCTGGGCTTTGACCGACCTCCTGTAGCACAGAGATGTATTCACGATTGATTGATCACTGGGTGGTGATCAGTGTCATATTTGTCAAGTCCTTCTTTACTTCAGATCGAATACTATCGACCATGTTGCAATGTGGCCACCAGTTTTACTTCAAATATTAATTTCAGGTTTCTTGTTAACTACCTCCAACCACCATCTTATCTCAACATAGTGCACACAATGTTGAGTTACCAAGATTGGTGCCCACATTACAACGTGGTCAATAGTATTCGATCTGCATTAAAGAAGGACTTGACACACATGACATTGATCACTACCTAGTGATCAACCAATTGTAAACATTTTATTTAGTATGATCATAGCAACTACCAACTAAAGTTTTTCATATAAAAATATAGAGAATTCAGTGAAGAAACTTTTCATTTCAATGAAATCATTTACTGAAACTGTACACTTGTATGTATAATTGTATAATGAATATATATCTATAGAAAGATAGGAAAAACTATGTAATCAAGGGATTCGATACTTTAAATATCAAATAAGGTTAGGTGATAATCAGGGTGGTGGTTGTGGTGGTGGTGGTGGTGGTGGTGGTGAGGTTAAGGAAGAATGAAAGAATGAAAATCATTTATTGGGTCAACATTATGAAAGATAATTGTCCACTTGACAGATATGAAGAGAAATGAAAAAAACAACAACAACATAAAGGTCATCATAATAACTGAGTGTTAATCCTGAAAAAAGGATAATTATAACTGATTACATTTTAAAATCATAAAAACAAGACCAAAACACACCAATGAAGGATGTAATGTTGAATGTATCGTTTTTGCGCTCAGAGTTCGAGCATGAATAGGTAGATCGCCAACGAATTAACACTGCATAAGTATTTGATTCGATTCCCCTTCAATTCAGTATCTTAGATTGTGTAGATTATATTGAAGGAATACTCCTTTAGAGTGATGTGTCCAGAAATTATTTAAGTACTCCTATATCGAACAGGTGACTGATTTATACATGCTCTTTTCAAAAGTCAGGTATTGTTCTGAGATGTGTTTAGAAAGTGATCGTTTCATGCGGATAATGTAACCTGCCTCATAAGAACAAGTAAATTGATAAATGATCATTGTCGTAAAGAAAATTTTCTTTACTAAATTCTCTTTAGTTTATTTCTATGACATAATGACCGTCCAATGCTTCCAGGTTTTCTATGACAGTCTAGCTTGAATTGACTCATGAATTCAACTATTCAAATTTTTAATGTAATAAAAAATCTTTAATTTTGATTGGCTTAGAATATTTAACCAATTAGAATTGAGAATAAGATTTATCCTTATGAGTGAATTAACCAATGAAATTGAAGGCTTGTGCGAACAGTACAAAGACTATATATATATATATATATATACATGTATATATATATATATAGAAATGTAGTACTAGGTACTTCTGTAATGATACCATTTTAAAGGTAGCCTATTTGCGTCTATTTCCCAAATACAGATTTCCATCATATCAACACTGTATAATTACATAACATGGTTACATAACATTGAATATTGATTACATAATTTTGATCATTACTAGACAAAATTCTATTACAAATTATGATACAAAAAGAAAAACATAGACAATGACAATAATAAACATTCAATGAAAGACCAGTCAAGGATATAATTTCATGAATTGAAATGGTGAGTTGTTGTTCTTATTCCATAATTATGTATATGTACATGTGTGTATGTGTGTATGTATGATGTAATTTATTTGAATATATAAATATTGGTACAAAGGGGGGGTATCGAATAGATATGCGTCACACAAGTCACTTGATTTGTGTATGGACTGTGATACTGTCCAGATGCCCATGGTGAAGTAGGTGGTTTACTTAGAGAGCTACAACATGAGCGTTCAACCTAAAGATCTGATCCACAAGATAGTGGAGTAACGTAAAGCGGTACAGTCCTATGGAAGTCGGTGATCAACGATTGGTTCATACCTCATTTGTTCCCTTAGGATTTTGGTAGCCCATATGCACCATTGGTTTGAAATCAGGGTTTTCTAACTCTCCTATGTGGATCCTTCATATACACCAACCTGATTATTTATTTTTGAATTTCGATATATATTTCTTTTAGACGTTCCATTCAATCTGCTTGTTTACAAGATGTCGAAAAATAGGATGATAAATAGATGAATGAAGTTATATCTTTTATTCATACAGACATCATCTATATGACGGGAACAATTCCATTCTTAGGCAGACTATTTTCTAGTTTTGTCAGGAAAAATAGATCCGTTGTGAGATAGGAACTCACTGATGACAATGGTGTACGGTGGCGCAACTTCGTGGATTGGTTGAAGTTCGACATTAACACCGTTGGATGCCGGCTCAGTGATCTAGGTGGTTAAGCACCTGGCGCGAGACTGATAGGTCCTGGGTTCGAATCTCGCGGTGGGCGGGATCGTGGATGCACACTGCTGAGGAGTCCCATACTAGGATGAAACAGCCGTCCAGTGCTTCCAGGTTTTTCATGGTGGTCTAGCTTCAATTGACTCACGATTTCAACCAGCGAAAAATAGATCTAGTCAGGAAAGAAATGACCTCAATGATGAATCTATTTCAACTCTATTGAGATTGTCTGTAAAATTCATTGCTTAAATGAAAATATTACAATAGATACTCCAGTCCTTATGTTTTTCTTGTTCAATGCATATAACGATATATTGATGAATAAAGATATACCATTGAGAGGTATCATGAATTGATTGTTCAACTACTAGATCATTTGTTTTGTTCATAGATTAGTATCCATCTAATTGGTCAGCTTAAGTTGGATCTACAAAACAAACTCTTTCAAAGGGTATCTCTGAATATTACCCTACCTGATCTATCTAAAAAAAGAAGAACACTACAAACAATGCTTAAACAGATCGATGATAGAAACAATTGTACAGTTTAAGGAAATGAAATCATCAAAAAGAAAAGTTTTCCACTTTGTAAATTGTTCCTTAATGTCATGATATAGTCGAGAATGGAGGGAGTCAACTCTCCATCTTCAAATACTCTCACATGGTCACGCGTATACAACCACTAACAGCGAAGTCCTACTCACTATTTTCTTAAGATGAAAGTGTTGTTTAAGAAATTGAGAGGACAAAAAGCGAATGTTCAGTAGGGGCTTTAACCGGGTTGGTGAATATGGAGGATACATCTGATTCTAAACCAATGGTGCACATGGGTCAACAGGATCATAAGGAAACAAATGACGTATGAATCAATCGTTGATCACTGACTACCATGGGACTGCATCTCCTTACGTTACTCCACTACCTTGTATATCAGATCTTTAGGTTGAAGGCTCGTGTTGTAGCCCTCTAAGTAAACCACCTCCTTCGGTTTGGGCACCCCTGCAGTATCACAGTCCACACACAAATCAAGTGACTTGTGTGACGCATATCTATTCGATACCCCCTTTGTATCAACATTTATATATTTAAATAAATCATTATTATTAGATACCAACACAGAAATATGATAACAGTATAGATTATGACTTGGAATTTACTTCTTTTTTTCTCATTTTGACCAAGATAAATGATCTTTTTGACATTTAATATGAAAACATACAACTAGATTTATGATCGAATTGGGACTGGAAAGAAAAGAGATTTGTTAAATAAGTATAAACTTGTTTAAACGTCATAGCACTAACGTATTACTTACTCCTGTTAACCTTCGTGAAAGAGTATAGGTCCAACATCAACACTCTCTATCCAATCCTGTACTGGGCAATCTTTTCCAGTTAGTTTCAGTCATTAAACATTATTTTAATGTCCGTTTCCAATTCTTAGAGTAGTATATTGTTTGGCCTTTCTCTTTTTCATTTTCCTTACAGAATTCCAAGTTAGAGCTTGCCTCATGACAACATATAAACTGTATATTTCATTTTTTCTTCAGTCAATATCATTATTAATTAGATTTGTTATATTTGATATTAAATGAAGCTTCAATTATGTAAAAACTATTATTATTAGTAATGTCATATGTGCTACTGATGTCGACACACATGAGTAGTGTGTCATTCACTGACTGAATGATCTCAAGAGAAAAAGAGTGAGATCTCTCTAAGATCCAGAAATCATGAGTTCGATCTCAAAGTGGGATCAAGTATACACAATGTGATTGAGTCCCACCATAAGATGAAGCAATTATTGAGTGTTATCTCCAATGGAGAATAGGCTGCCGATCAGCATTCTCCAACCAACTATGTCCTGGGACTCCCTTTATAGTTCTATCCAATTGTGGTTCATTCGTCTCATATTCGTCTCCATTTCTTGGCATAATTTGTTCTTTGATCTTCCTCTTCTTCTTTGAACTTGAGGATTTCAAGTGATGAGTGCTTGTGTTGTGACACAGTTGGGTGCTTTCCTCGATATATGTCCTATCCACTTCCAGTTGTTTTTCCTCCGCTGGAATATAGTTTGTTCTCTCTCACAGTAGGTTGTTGCTAATAGTGTCTGACCAACGGATCTGAAGTATTTTGTGTAGACAACTGTTAATAAACACTTGTATCTTCTGAATGATGGCTTTCGTAGTTCTCCAAGTTTCCGCCCCTTAAAACAGAACTGTCTTGACTTTTGTGCTAAAAATCCTGACCTTGGTGTTGGTTGACAGACAGTTGTTTTGAGTTCCAGATGTTATTCAATTGTAGATATGCTGCTCTTGTTTTGCAGATCTAGTATATACTAGTTACATTACAGTGTAGTAAAATATTTGGTCCATGATTGAACACTTAACATCATAAATCAAGGTTTAAATAAACAGTATATTAAGAAAAATAAGTAATTGAAGATAGTCTGTAGTATACGTTTACTTGGTTTACGTTTCATGTTGTTTAACACATGTCAGCAAGATTTATCTACAACGTTAGCCCCCTATTATCCTGGTATGGTCGAGAGTGAGGGAAGTCAGTTCTCCCTCTTCAAATGCTCTCAGATGACCACGTGCATACAGCCACTGACACTGAAGTCATACTCACTACCTTCTCGCGGTTGGGTTGTTGTTTACTAAATTGAGAGGACGGAAATCAAATATCCGTCGCTTTAACCGGGTTGGAGGAAATAGAGAATCTATTTAGGGCAGTTCTAAAACGCTTATTCCAAACCAGTTGTGATCATAGGCTACCAAGCGACTCCATCCCCTTACGTGGCTCCACTGCTTTGTGGATTAGACTTTCAGGTCAAAGGCCCGGGTTATGTCGCACTATAGTCTATATGGTTTGGTACGCTACCACTGTGTTTTTCGGTAAACTATCATCTTCCTATGGAACTGAGATATTTACATCAGTTGGTCAATCAATAGTAATTGATATCATTACTTTTTTTTTCTAGGCCTCCATTACTTATTCTGTCGGTCAGTTAGCATATTATCGATTAGTTGAAGTGACCAAGAAGCAGTAGGTCGAATAGATAGTTAGACGTTAACACCGTTGGATGCCTCCTCAGAGATCAAATATATGCACTTGAGAACCACGATCATTAATCATTGGAATAAGAAATTCGTGAGTGCTCATTGGAGAGCAGCTGCATACTAGAATGAAACGGCTTGCAATACTAATCAGTTCGTGGTTTAAACTCTAAAATCTCCTTAAATCCTTTTATACCAAATATAATAACCTACTCTTTATTGAAAGATTTTCCTTCGTTTCCTTAAAATATTCTTGTATTTCTGTTGATTGTGTTTGCCCGATTTATCTTTGTAAATTTTGATTGTTTGGCCCTTTCCATATTGACTTTTAAATTGAATCTACATGGATTTGCCTATTAACTGAACATCAGTTTTGAAATACGTAATCATTTAGGCTTGTGTTTACTTGTGAAGATATATGGGCCTAAAACCAATATTCTCCATTGAAACCTGTTCTGAACAATCCTTTCCAGTTGGTTCCAGTACTTTGTTCATTCTTTTCATGTTTGCTTCGAATTTGTTGACGCAGTATGTTCCTCGATCTTCCTCTTTTCCGCTTTCTTTCAGGATTCCAAGGTAATGCTTGCTTTGTGATTCAGTTTGATTATTTCCTTGATGTATATGTCCTATCCACCTTCAACATCTTTTCTTAATTTCCTCTTCAATTACAAGTTGCTTTGTTCTCTCCCACAGTAGGCTGTCAAGAAAAAAGTTAATTTAACATATTCATTAAAGAAGTGCTTACTTATTATTGTTAGTCTAAAATTTCTGACTTCAAACTAGGCTTATTCAAAGATAGTTCCTCGACATGAATAATTAAACTAACTTATCATTAATCATAAGATTAGTTATACATTATGTTACATTACTTACGCTTGTTACCCTTTGTGGAAGAGAATAGGTCATTCTTCATTCAACTCTATCTTTTGACAATCCTTTCAAATTCTTTCCAGTTCCTCCTTCATCATTTTCATTTCTCAACTTAGTGTTATATTCTTCTTGTGCCTTCTTCTTCTTCTTCTTCTTCTTCTTCCTTCACAATTTCATCTTAGTACTTGTTATCATATGATGCAGTTTGATGATTTCTTTCATATCCACTTCAAATATCTTTATGGAATTTCCTTTTCAACTTGATGTTATTTAGTTCTTTTAGCCACAGCAATAGTTTGTTACTAATGGTATTTAATCATTAATGTAAATATTCGTCTTCTCATAAAATGACAT